TTAAATACATTTAAAGAAATCACTCCCTTCACTCCGAAGCCATCTCCTACTTGCTTATAAGCCAATACCTATTCGCTATCTCCCAGACTCCGCCAATGCTGTCAAGACAGAAAAAAAAAGAGTGACTAACCACAGACGGAAAGAGCTCATGCCAGAAAGCAGGCTGCCATCCACCTAACACACACACACAAAACTACACTCCTGTTTCAGGGCATGAAGAGTCAGTCCAGTCAAGAACTACATTAGGGATCATGCATGCTGAGGAGTCAGCTAAAGTTCTGGCAGAGAAGTGAAGCTTTGATGTGGAAAAACAGTGGAGAAAAGGAAGAAGTACTGGAGAAACAAAAGCAAAGGAAAAGGAGGGAAATTATAAAGTAAGTGGCTGAAGGCCTACAGACAGACCTGAAGACCAGCAACAACAAAAGAAGGCTGAGCCGAGCAAGAGGGACAGGCTCCAGCCGTGCTGAGCCCCAGCAGCAGAAACAACTGCTCAGAAGGCAGCTGAAAGTCAGAGGAAGAGGGACAGAGACTTTGCCCAACAAACCTGCAGAATAGACTGGAGAAGACCAAGAAACCCAAGTAGGAAAGGACTAGAAAGCTGCTCACAGTGACCAGAAATCTGGCAGTGAGGCTAAAGAGAATGAACTTGAGCCCAGAGACAAATGTTCTGAAGGAAGGCACCCAGCAGGAAATAGAAATGGCAAGACCTACCTCAGGAAATGGAGATCCACAGCACAATTAGCACCAAAAATAAGCCTCCAAGCAGGCCTGTTCTAAAGCAGCTGCTACAGAAATGTCCAAAGAGGCCAGCGAAGTATCTGGACACAGGTGATGAGAAGACTAACTGACAGGAAAAAGAGGGCGAAAGCCTAGGAACCTGGCGAGGGGTTCCAGGCCTTCAATCGGGGAGAAAGGGTTGGCCTAGCCTCTGCAACCATGAACATGGAGAAAGCTAAAGACCTCCAGGGCCTGTCCGACTCTGGAAAGGCCCAGGGCAAGTAAAGACATGGGGGCCAGTGAGCTGAAGCTGCCCAGTTAAATTCAGGCTTCCTAATGCCTCAGGGTTTCTCCATGTCCCAACCAGCTTTTGAGAACAGAAATAAAACTTCACCCATCCCAGGCCTAGGAGGCAACCTGAGCTGATCGGGCCTCTTCTCCCAGAGCTTCATACCTTAGGCCCAGTCTCAATCCTGCAATGAAAATGGCTTTGTAAAAACAGGGGAAATCCCAAACAATTATCTGGGCATTTTTCAGGGACAGTTTCCTTTTTTGTCATTTTGCTTCTTCAGCTCATACATGACGTATTTCGTTTTCTTTTAAAAGCCTCATTTATGGGGCACGTGGGTGGCTCAGTCGGTTGGTTAAGTGCCGGACTTCGGCTCGGGTCATGATCTCACAGTTCGTGCGTTTCAGCCCCGCGTCAGGCTCTGTGCTGACAGCTCAGAGCCTGGAGCCTGCTTCAGATTCTTTGTCTCCCTCTCTCTCCCTCTGCCCCTTCTCAGTTCACACTCTGTCTCTCTCTCTCAAAAATAAATAAATGTTAACAAAAATGTTTTTTAATCCTCATTTAGCAGTCTCTTATTCCCGTGTTTTTCCTACCAGTGTGAGGGTACATATGCTTTATTTTATACGCTGATAAGGAAACAAGAAAGACTGCTTCCAGTACATAACTAGAGTGTTACAGTATACTTGAACCCGTACATCAGTTAAGAAGTGAGCTCAAACCTAGCGCCCAAAATTTGGTTTCTCAGTATCATTCTCCAATAAACCGTGAACATGGAGAAAGGAACTAGGGATCTTTGGAGAAGTGGTGGTCTCGGGGGCTGGGGAAGGGAAGATACAACAAACACAATTAATGTATGGGGCCAGAAAGTCAGGGAAAGACACCAAAAAGGATGTGGACACTTTAAGGGGAAGCAGGAGCCACTGCAAAGAGCCCCCAAGGGCCAAAGCTGGAATAATCTAAGCAACGAAATAAGTACCATTAGCACCGCATCATAGCCCAAAGGATATGTATCCAACATCACACAGATACAAATAATTGAAGAAATAAAACAAAGGGAAAGAAGGCACAACTCTTCTTCAGGAAATATTCCAATTATTATCTGGAGAAGGAATAACAGAAATCAAAGTCACCACTAGACCATTACAGTGATAAGATCCACCAAGAAGGCTAATTAGTGGGTGAACAGTAAAGAAAAGCAGGATATTGCCATGCAAGTTCTCAAAGTATCTTCCCCCAAATAATCACTAGTTACAATGGGAAAGCCAGTATCTTTACAATGGTGACACATGGAAGACACCACTAGGTCAAAATCAGTATTGACAGTAATAACACATAGCAACATCATCCTCAATTGAAGCAGGAAAAAACATCTGCCAAAACCAAAGTGAGAGCCATTCTAAAAATACCCATACAACATACTTGAAAAGTGTCAACGTCATGAAAAACAAGGAAAGATGGAGAGACTGTCACAAGAAGACAGGGCAACTACATGGAATGGTGGAATGAGGGATTCTAGATCGGATCCTGGAACAGAAAAAGGTCACTAGTGAGAAACTGCTGGACTCTGTAATTAAAGTCAGCAGGTTAATGAATAGCATTGTACACTGTAAATTTCTGAAGTTTGAGGACTTGTACTATGGTCATGCAAGATATTAACTCTAGGCAAACTGACCAAAGAATATAAGGGAACTCGGTATGGTTTCTGCAACCCTCTCTAAGTCCACAACTATTCAAAAGAAAAAGGGTGGTTTTTTTTTTTTGTTTTGTTTTGTTTTGTTTTGTTTTAATATATACTTATTTTTGAGAGGGGGGCAGAGAGAGAGAGGGAGACACAGAATCGGAAGCAGGCTCCAGGCTCTGAGATGTCAGCACAGAGCCTGACACGGGGCTCGAACTCACGGACCTTGTGATCGTGACCTGAGCCAAAGTTGGACGCTTAACCATTTAGGCCACCCAGGCGCCTCAAGAAAAAGGTCTCGGAATGGAAGAACTGTTATCACTGTTTTCTGATGTATTTCTGTCTTAGATTTAAAAAAAAAAAAAAAAAAAGAAAACCGTGGCAATCAAAGATATTAAATATTGTTATTCTTATCTCCAATTTAGAGTCATTCTTTTATTAACAGTATTTACTGGGCACCAGCTATGCCCCAGGCACTAAGGACTACATAACGAATAAGGATACCAAAAACAAAACACCACAAGAAACCAAAACAAACAAACAAAAAACACCACCGCCTTGCAGAGCTTACAGGAAGACAGAAAATGAAGAAAACACATGGCATGTTAGATAGGCATGTCTGGTCCGACACACTGTAATAAAACAAGGAAGGAGGGTAAGAGGTTTAAGATCAGGCAGAAGTTTAAGCTCAAAAATCCAATTTTGTAGAGCATCTCATGATTCACCTGGGGAGTTCTTTCAGAGCGTTTCTGATACAAAAATCCTGAAGACTGACAAATAAGGTAAGTTACGGTTACTATACGTTATGTATTTCTACTCCCAAGCAACTCTCCGACATCACAGAATGCCCTTGCACTGATACTTCCTGGACACGAGGAGCCTCAGAAAACTTCAAGTGGCAGACTTAGTATTTGTGATGCTGTTGTCAGTTTCCTTTCTAAGTACATACTGAGGGTTTATCTTCAAAACATTCCCATCATTTCGACCTACAGTAAGGACTACATTTCGAACCAAAATTTGTCCGCCTTTCTTCAGCATCAACACGACAGGTAAGAGCACCCCCATTCATCAGACCCTCAACACACACACACACACACACACAC